GTACACCTTTTGATGAGCGAAAGGCAATCGCGTTGAGGAGTGAGGTTTTGCCGGCGCCTGAGCTGCCCATCACAGCAAGTAATTCGCCAGGGTAAGCGACACCGGAGACTGGAAGGGGAAGGTAAATAGCGGAAAGTTAAATAAATAAATCTATGTGTTTTTTTTTATGAAACTCACCATTTTTTAGCAGATGCTTGCGCGGTGCGGGTATATGCCGTTCGTTGCAGAAAATACCTTTCACCCGATTTAACAGCTGCTTCCAACCCGAGCCAGGTTGATGTACCGTCCCAAAAACATCCAAATTATACCAGGAGTAAGTGAGATTATCCGCAGTAAGCGTAGGCGTCGACGCTGAGAGTGTACCGTAATTTTTGCTAAAACCTTGATTTATGGAGGACTGTTCGTTGGACTGCTCATTATTCTGCAAGGCAAGCAAATTAGATTTTATGAAATTAGGTGCTAATTTTTTTTTTTGTGCCTAGATGGTGAAAGATGCAAAAAATGGGCTTGAAATTTGAAACACCCTCAAATAATTTCCAGCCGTAACCCTCAGTTGACTTACAAATAAATTGGAGTGTGTTGTAATAAAAAGGAACAGAATGTTTCGAATCTCGAAAGCAGGGCAAGTTTGTGGCTACGTTGGCCATTGTATTTATATGTTTATGAGGTCACATCTGAGCTTCTTTATGCATCTCTTCTTTTTGCGTCTTTTTCCTCTTAAATAGCTTCTATAGTTAGTATTTTATTAATAAATTTTATTTCCTAGAAATTTGTATTTCAATACCACATTTTTTGGAAGCAAGGATGTTCAATGGAAAATAGTGAAAAGGAGATTTTCAATACCTAATCGTCCTTATGCACCAAAAAATTTAATCGGAATACAGAATTTTCTCCTTAGTTTGATAGTCATACTGGTTTTCTACATATATTTTTCAAATTTCGAAGTCCTTCAAAAAAAATCCTGAAGTCAGAGAGAAAAACTTAAAAAGCGTTTTACTATATTTGGCCCATGGTTTCGCGAATATATAAAATTTCTTGTGTGTAAAATTTACTGTCGCACGGTGTTATCTATAGAAGGGATTTCTATGCCAGAACCTGTTCTGGCACTGTCGAGAAAATCTCAGCAACGGAAATATAGTCAGGCTCCAGACGGAATCAGCGTTCCGGCCGGGCAATTACAATTGACTATTCTCATTTCCAAATAAGGATTTCGCAATTCCATTTGACGCTTTCTCATTTACAATTGACTATTCTTATTTCCAATTGACTTTTCTTATTTCCAATTGAAAAATCTGATTTTCAAATAACGCTTTCTTATATATAAATGACCATTTCTCATTTAATTCATAATTTTTAGAAAGTTTTTTAAGTATTTTTTCTTACTTTATACAATTTTTATATTTTTATATTTATATATTTTATTGTTTTAAAAGTCACATATTTCTAAAGTTTTATTTAATTTTTGCGAACTTATGTTATTTATGTTTTTAAATTAGATTATCTTTTTATTACTAGATTTTATTGTTTTAAAATGAATTTTTTTTTGAATTTCCTTTAATTTTTAAAACCTTTAACTTTTAGGAAGTGTTTTTTGTCTTAATTTACATATTTTGTTTTCTATTTTCAAATTATTTTTTTTTGGAATACATACTTAGTTTTATTGTTTCCTTTTGTCATTTTTCCTATTTATTTTAATTCTTAGAAAACGTACAGCCTGTTTGAAAAAAAATTTAAATGGATAATTTTTTTTTCTGTGAATTTTCATATAAAATTAAAAAAATAATTTTTCAATTAAATTGCTTTCGTGAAATTGGCTGTTAGTGCTTAAAGACAAACAGGATAAAGCTAAGAGCTCCTCGTTAGCAGATCTTTAAATTAGCCTTTCCATAGACAGAAAAGAGTTTTAAAGATACATAGTTGCCAGTATTGACATTTGTCTTACGAAAGTCTTTTGCTAGGACTTTATCTGGTCTAGTTCGGGGCCATTTCGGGCCTAGTTCGGGATCACTTTTCTTATCTTACAATTTGGTTGACAAATACACTTCACCTGATCGTTTGACATATTTGCCAGGATTTACCAGCAAAATATCTGCGGACTTAGGGCCGGTTGTTCAATGTCTGATTAGCACAAATCGGAGGTGGAAGCTCCGTTTAGATACAACGACTGCTTTATCGATCACATGTTATATGTTTGAATTCGAAATCGTCGATAATGATGTTTAACCGGCAAGTAGTGATAACCAGACATTGAACAACCGGCCCTTAAATTGGTAAGTTTTGATAAAGAGAGTGCGTCATTTGCTCTCTCAACAGTGCTCTATTTTCCTAGTTTTTCGAGCACGTGATCGATTTCCAGTAAGACCTGGTAAAAAATTGCAAGTTCGGAGTCGTACGAGATCGCAGCTTTTTTTTTCAGGAGTTGTTGTGGCAAGAGGCGTTTGGAAAGCAGCACTAAGTGTGTGCCTTTATTTCTTTTAACAAAATTTCAATGTGTTGATCTAAACACATATATGTACATTAGACTGCATCACTTAGGGTTGCCAGATTCTGAAACGGAGAAAGGAGTACATTTCTATTTTCGATAGAAAAAAAAGCAGTACAAACATAATAAAAGGAGTGCAATTTTTTTATAAATTTTTTGTGCAATTTATTGTTTCAAATTACCAAAAAGTAAATATATGTATAATCACATACTTATTTGAGATCGTTTTCATTAATTACATATAGAAAGATGTCTTTTAGGAAGCAGTCAATTGCCTTTTCCTGCATGTATTTTCAACTACCTTAAAATGAATTTGGCTTAAACAACTTCAAAGTCAGTATGTTTCGTTTGAATACGCTTTCGTTCTGCACTTCACGGATGCTTTTTCATAACTAAGAAAAACCGAAATTAAGAATTTAAAATTAAATGAGATGTGAACATAGACATTCTTGGCTGCCACCGATTGTAGCAAACATCTTTGCACGTTCAGCTACAGCCAGACATGTAAATGTGCTTTTAAATGTACAGTTTGAATTGCGTGCAAGAAGCAAGTCGACTGTCCGAATCTGCATTTAATTTCAACTACTTTAAATGAATTTGGTTTACACAACTTTAAAGTCAGTATGTTCCTTTTGAATACGCTCGCGTTCTGGACTTCACAGATGCTTTTTCATACTTCCAAGACACAAATTGTTTTTTTGAGCAAAAAGAGTATCAAAATTCGAAACATTGCATTTGTTTTAAAGTAGTCATTGCATTTGTTTTAAAGTAGTCTTTCAATTAGTTGATTAAAAAAAAAATCACTTGTTTCCGTCAGGCTAGTGTTCGCCACAATATGAATGCCAAAGTATAGGGGATAAATAATAACAGTCGCACAGGCTTTTTGAAAAATAAAAGGGTTCTTTATAGATTTTGCGAAAAACTTATTTTATTGTTAACTTTGTAAATATTTTACTTTAATTTTATTGATTAGTTTTAAAATTTTAATCCGTATTTGCTTTTGCCACTTTGGGATATAAGCACATGTCTTTTTCACGTGTATTCTTTCTTAGATTTTGTATAAAAAAAAAACAGAAAAAAATAAAAAAACTATATAGCGCAAAAATACCTCCGCCGCTCTTTTCTGGCAACACGGAAAGGAGAATTCTACTTAGTGAGGGTTATAATCCAAAATTACATGAGGGATTAGGAATATATTACTCCTTATATAGTTACAGAACCCCAGGTAAAAGAATTGGGATTAATCCCAAATTTTAAAACTGGAGTTATGCCACTTGGGGCTATGTCACGGCACCGATGAGGCCTTATGTTGGACAAAAGGGGGAATATAAAGAACTCAAATGGAGGAAATTAGCCTATGGTTACAAAAGATATGTAATAAAGTAACCGACGAAGACTTGAGTGCCGCTTGCGCTTTTCCGTCAAAGTGTTTACCGCTTGTAAACCCTAATAAAGGTTAAAATTTAAAAAGTAATTAATAAAACTTAAGTAAAATCTGTGGAAAATTAACAATAAATTATTTTTTCGCAAAATCTATAAAGGGCCCTTTTATTTTTCAAAAAAAAAACTGTGCGACCGTTATTACTTTACACCCTGTATTTGATAAAAATGAATACATAGCTGGAAAAAGGAGTACAAAAGAAGTACAAAACTAAAAAAGGAGTACATTTCCTGATTTTTTCTTTTGGGAGTAGAACATTGCAATAAAAAGGACTACGTTTACTCCTAAAAGTAGTACGTCTGCCAACCCTAGCATCACTTCCCATACAAAAAAAATCGGTTCTGTTTTTCCATTGGAATTATAAAAACTATTATATTTTAAGATGTTCACCGAAATATTTCGAAAAAATATTAAGATTTACGTGAGCTGAACCGATTTGAAAATACCTCCAAAAACGGAGTTTTTTTACGAATAAAAACAGTTTCTTAAAGACGTTTTTTGAAAAAATCCCCTCAAATGACAAAACGGTTTAAGCTTAAAAAATTTGCATAAAACTATTTAAAAAAAATAAAAAAAAATTTGAACGGAATCGTAATGATGAGATTTTTGATGCTGTTTTTTAACTTTTTTCAAAGATTGGTATAAGAGAAACTTGAGTAACTGAACCTAAACTCTTCCTATTTAGACTTGTGGGGTATCATTGGAAAGGTATATTCTTATTATTTAAGTTTTTCGTAAATCAATCTTTGAAAAAAGTAAAAAAAATATCATCAAAAATCCTATTATTACGATTCCGTTGAAAAGATTTTTATATATTTTTATGCAGATTTTTTAAGCCCAATCTGGTTTGACATCCGAGTGGACTTTTTTCAAAAAGTTCTTTAAGAAACTATTTTTATTCATAAAAAACTACATGTTGGGAGGTATATTCAAATCGGACCAGCTCCGGCTGAAAAGACGCAACTTTTTTTGGTGATGCAGTCTAATGTACATACATATATGTATCTCTGAAGGATTTTTTTCATGAAAACTTGGGTAATCACTTTTAGAACTAATTACTTCTGCACAAGAGGGTAATATTTTGCTAAGGTCACGATTAAAATTTTGCTACGAAGTCGTCCCTCGCTTCAACTGTGAAAATAAAACAACATGTTAACAAAATTACGAGTTTATTTTCAGAAAATAAGCATACAAAACTAATTATGTATTTAAAATCGAAAAAGTTGC